ACTAATTTATCGACAAGACCGTCCGCGAGAAATCCAACCTGGACCCCAACCTTGTTGAGGATGTCTGTGTTGGCAACGTCCTCTGCCCCGGCGCCGCATATATCGCCCGTTCCGCCGTGCTGGCAGCAGGTTTCCCCGTAACAGCAGCCGCCTCGGTTGCCAACCGATTCTGCTCCTCCGGTCTCCTGGCCGTTCAAAACATCGCCAACCAAATCATCGCTGGATCCATCGATGTCGGAGTGGCAGTTGGAGCGGAGAGCATGAGCAATAACGCTGACGGCGGCGCTCCCGTGATGACCGATCGCATCAACAAGCACCCAGTCGCATCCCAGAATATTCAGTCCATGGGCCAGACCTCGGAAAATGTCGCTAACCAGTTCAACATCACGCGCCAGCAGCACGACGCGTTCGCTGCCAAGAGTTTCCAGAAGGCCGAGCGCGCCCAGAAGGCCGGTTGGTTGGAGGACGAGATTGTCCCCGTCAAGACTCAAATTAAGGACCCTAAGACCGGCGAGGTCAAGGATATCGTCGTTGACCGTGACGATGGCATCCGCTACGGTACTACCGCCGAGTCCCTCGGCAAGATCCGCGCTGCTTTCCCCCAGTGGGCCCCTAGTGCTACCACTGGCGGTAACGCCAGTCAGATTACCGATGGTGCTGCTGCCCTAGTTCTCATGAAGCGCTCGCGTGCCCAGCAGCTCGGTCAACCTATTGTTGCCAAGTTCTGCGGTGCTACCGTTGCTGGTCTGGAGCCCAGAATCATGGGTATTGGCCCATCTGTTGCCATCCCCAAGCTCTTGAACAAGTTCAACTTGAGCAAGGATGACGTTGATATTTTCGAGATTAACGAGGCCTTTTCCTCAATGGTAAGCTTACCAAGTATCTGAACTATGTAGCTTGAAAGACTGACGTACGTTATTACAGGGTGTCTACTGTGTTGACAAGTTGGCCTTGGATGAATCCAAGGTGAACCCCCGTGGTGGTGCTATGTAAGTGATCTTTGACCCAGTTTGATTGATTCCATGCTGATGTTTCAAAGTGCTTTCGGTCACCCTCTAGGCGCCACTGGAGCACGCCAGGTCGTCACCGCTCTGTCTGAGCTGCGTCGACAGGATAAGCGAGTTGCTGTGACCTCGATGTGTATTGGCACTGTAAGTTACCTCCAGTCGTCATGACTTCGACTTTAAGAAATACTAATATCTTCCAATAGGGCATGGGTATGGCCGGTATCTTTGTTTCTGAGCATTAAGCATGCAGAAAAGCGTTTGCTTATCGTGATTGTGTTGACATTGTATATATTTTTCCACACATTGAATACGACTCTGTAGTTTTGATACTATAACCCGTGGACGTCAGTGCAATAAACTTCCAATTGATATAAATATTATTCCAACTGTGTCAGGTGCAGGTCGACAATTTGACCAAGTTGATGTCTAGCCCAGAACTGGGTGCTAGTATATATATGAGGAAGGTGCGACTCAAGCTTATCGCCTTCACTACCTTCTCTTCTATCAAATGCCTGTTTGATTTTCTTCTTTCCACATTTTCAGCACGCTACCTACTCTCCAGAACCTCGTCGGTGTGGAACGAAAAATGATACATTCCAGCCAAAAAAAAAAAAAGGGGATTCTTGGACACGTCTCAACTACCTTTTCAAGTGACTCCTTGCAATCCCTCGGCCTGTCATCAAAGTACCATACTCTTTCCCGCAATGCCGTATCCCAAGACGTTAAAAAGCACCCACAAACGTGAAAGGTAAAGAACCTCACGTCAACCAGCCTCCCAAAGGCCTCGAAGCCTGGGTGTGAGAGATCTAGTTGGAGGGTCGGCAATTTGCTTGGGGGGCGTCAGCTATTTAAGCGCTACACCCAGGATATGGAATCATTGCTATCGGAAATAGACAGCGAGAGTATATATACGACAATTCAATCATTATAATTCACTGTATTTGGCTATTTACGTAGTAGAATGAAAGCATCAGGCTTTCTTCACAAAGTCAACCCTCCTAGCCAACCAACAACCAATCGTAAACCCTTGGATTGCATCATGCTCATCCCGAGAAAAGACAATGGTCCAGTCTCCTGGAGCTGGTGCATCCAAACCACGTGGACAAGTCAAGACCCAGACATCGTCTCCCAGATATTTCATTGGAGTGGCATTTCCTTGACCCAGATATCCATCGAACGCACCGTATAGCATGCCACCCTCGCCAATACAATGGAAGGTAGATTCAATCTCAGTACCGTGATAGACACCCTGGAATGAAGTCTCTTGAAGGGTTGATTCTTTCGGGACAATACGCCGAGCACTGAGTATCCGGTTATCTCCCACACGATGAATACTCAATAAATCTCCATCAATCGTCGCAATCATAGAATCAGACTTCCCATGATTCGGTGTACTAAGTTTGATAGGCACAGCAGAGCCATCGTATTTGATGGCCACCTCTCCTTCCCGTGCGCCCTTGGTGATGACAATCGACAGCTGGGTATCCTGGTCAAGAAACGCGCCGACCCAATCTGCGGCCGACTGGATGGGCGCCGTTACAGGCTTTGGTAATTCCAAGAGATCTCGGAAGATCTCAATGTTGGGGCCGAATGCGTCGGCGTCACTGTTCAACATAACTACGACGGACAAGCGCTCGCGTGGTGAGTGTCGCCGGTGCAGTCGATACCCTCGCAATGCTCCACCATGTCCGATTGTGTTCACACCGTCAATGTCAGTGTGACTTAGCCCATAGCGGTACCTCGCCGGAGTACCGTCTTTGAACTTCGGATCCGCGATCGCGGTATGGTACCAGCTCTGTGGATCAGCGTAGCAGCGATCGAGATATTTCTCGTACGCGATCATATCACTGAGTGAAGCTACTAATCCAGCATCACCAGACCATTCCATTCTGTTGACAGCGGGTGTAAAGCCGTGCTGCTCGTCGCCCTCATATCCGACACACGGCGGTGGGTGATGTGCGGTGTTGGGGCAAAGGAATGCCGTGCTCATACCAGCCGGGCGGAGTATTCTCTCTTCGAGCAATTTGTCAAGCGACTCGCCAGTTGCTCGCTCAATCACTCGGGCAACCACGTGGTAGTTGAAATTGCAGTAGGAATATTCCGTTCCCGGCTCGAAATGGAATGACTTGGTTTGAGCAATCAGTGGACCACAGTCTCTGGCGATCAGGAACTCGTCGTCGGGCTTGGACCCCCAGAGTGTGGTCATAGCCCAGTAGTCGCGGAGACCGGATTGCATGTCACATAGTCGATCAATTGTGAGTTCACCGTCACGAGTGAGCTCCGGGTTTACTAGTTCGATGAAATGATCTGAGAGCTGTTTCCGGACATCGCCCTTTGCAGCTAATGTTGGGGTTGGATTGCGCTCCAGGTCGATCAATAGCGCACACACAAACTGTTTAGTAATTGAACAGATGGGTAGTTGGGTTTCGGCTGTCATGGGGATCCGTTGGTCCAGGTCGGCGAATCCCCACACACGCTGGCCGATGACCTCGCCATCTTTGACGACGGCGATCGCACCTCCTGGGCCTCGAGAGCGGAGGGCAGCTCTGTTCAAGACCTCTTGAACCTTTTCCTTGGTGATTGTCATACTATCAGATTAAGGTAGAGGAAGGGAACGGATACCTTTGATGTTGGCTCATTACCCCTCTTCCAGTTATCTAGCGGAGTTGCTAAATATAGCACCGCGAAAATACAGAGCCCAATTTTATATACATAGAAAAGGTTAGGTATTTGAAAAGAAGTATAATTACATTCACATTATTGACCCTATCATATGTGCTTTAAATCCAATAATGCACATACATAAGTGTAGACAAGGCGCCAAGTAATGTCATAACGCCACGCTACTTTTTAATCGTCAGCTAGCATTATTGGCACGACAATCGTGAATCCTCACAAAGTCTCCCAAGACAATAACTCTTCCCTACTGACAATTTTCCTTCAGCCCGTCGCCTACATTCAAAATATCAATACCCTCAAGCTTCAACAATACCGACAGGGCCAAAGTCGCCGGGTAAAACATTAAGCTGCGCTTACCTCGAACGTGAAGTTTATTTTTTTTGTTCATCTTGGGAAGAAGTATGAACAGTCACTATCGACTTGACAAAATGATACGGATTAGTCTGAACTATGATGTACTTTAATATGATTGGATCTAAATGAAATACAGAGTAAGGAGTCATTTGCCTATGTTAAAATGACGACTACGCGATTGCATACAGAAAATTAAACATCCGAGACATTGACATCTACAAAGAACTCCGTAGACTACGACGTAATGATGCCCCCTACGGGTCGATCGTTAATCGAGGGTTGAGCTTAAAAAGGGGTTGGCTAATAATAGACAGTATAGGGGAGATTAACTGTAAACCCCTGATGGAACATTGAACTTTTCAAAGTTGGAATTGGATTGGGTCATGCAACACGCGATCCACCATGTCTCTGTCATATTCTGTGCACAGGGTCTCCTTAGGGAGTATCCGTACCTGAATTGTCTTGACCCACTACCTATACTTTACCAAATGCAATTAAATGAAATCTTCGGTTGGGTTTAACGAAGAAACCCTTTGTTTTCAGCCGGATACAAATATCCGGGGAGATCAAATCGAAAACAGCCTCGGGATCCATGGATACATCATGCCCCACAGCTCATGCATATTTTTGGAATCAATCAACTCACGGCTCAACCAATCGGAGGGTTTAAATTAGAATTAAAGTGGGCAAGCAAACGTGTTCGGACCCACAAAATCCACAGAACTACGCTGTGGCGGAATCTAGACTGAATTTTCATGGCTGGAACCTTGCTTTCGGTCTTCAGAGGGCTTTGGGTCTACAGAAGGCTTTAGAAGGGCTACCTTTCTTCCGTTTGCATTTTTTTTCACTTCCACTTTCACCTTCACTTTTTATTTTCATCTCTTATCAAAACTTCCCTGGCTACATTCTTTTATTCCAGGTTTTCTTTTACTTCTACTATCACTCGTTAAAACATTCAATATGCGTTCCGCTCAGTTCCTTGCCCTTGCGATGGCTGTCGCCACCTCTGAGGCCGTCTCTCAGGGTTTTAACTACGGTGCCCTCAAGGTCGATGGTAGCCTCAAGACCCAAAGCGACTTCGAGACCGAGTTCTCAACCGCTAAGAACCTTGTTGGAACCGATCATGGTTTCACCAGTGCCCGTCTGTACACCATGATTCAGGGTGGCACCACCAACGGCCCCATCGAGGCCATCCCCGCTGCTATCAAGGAGAAGACCACTCTTCTCCTTGGTCTCTGGGCTTCCGGTGGTGACATGAGCAACGAGATTGCTGCCCTCACAACCGCCATCTCCACCTACGGCGATGCCTTCACTGACCTTGTCGTCGGTATCTCCGTCGGCAGCGAGGACCTTTACCGTAACTCCGTCATCGGTGTCAAGTCCAACGCCGGTCCCGGTGTCGAGCCCGCTGAGCTCGCTGACTACATCAACCAGGTCCGCTCCGCCATCTCCGGTACTTCCCTGAGCGGTGCCCCCATCGGCCACGTCGACACCTGGAACTCATGGACCAACGGCTCTAACGCGGCCGTCGTCGAGGCCGTCGATTGGCTCGGTTTCGATGGATACCCCTACTACGAGAACACCGACCCCAACTCCATCGACGACGCCAAGGCCCTCTTCAACAAGGGTGTTGAGAAGACCAAGGCTATCGCCGGTGGAAAGGAGGTCTGGATCACCGAGACTGGCTGGCCCACTTCTGGCGCCACTGAGAACCTCGCTGTCGCCAGCATCCCCAACGCTAAGCAGTACTGGGACGAGGTTGCCTGCCCTCTTTTGGGTGTTACCAACACCTGGTGGTACATTCTTGAGGATGCTGGTACTACCGCCCCCAGCTTCGGTGTCACTGGTTCTTCCACCGACACCACCCCCTGTACGACCTGAGCTGCAAGGCCTCTACATCTTCCAGCTCTGCTGCCGGTTCTTCTAGCACCTCGGCCTCCGGCCTCTCTTCCGCCGCTTCTGCTACCTCCACTGCCTCTGCTGGCTCTGGTTCCGGCTCTGGATCCTCTGGCTCTGGTTCCGGCTCTGGCTCCTCCGGCTCTGGCTCCTCCGGCTCTGGTTCCTCCGGCTCTGGCTCCGGCTCTGGTTCCGCCAGCTCCTCCGTCGGTCCTTCCTCCGCAGCTGTGACCGGTGGCACCCGCCCCTCCACCAAGCCCAAGTCCAAGAGCGCTTCTGCCTCTGCTTCCGCTTTCGCCACTAGCTCCGGCTCTGGTTCTTCCCCTGCTGCCACCGGTGGCAGCAACCTCGGCTCCGGCAACTCTGGCTCCGGCGCTGGCTCCGACTCTTCTTCCCCCTCCGCCTCCCCCAGCCTCCCCGCCAGCTCTGCCACCCGTGTCGCCGGCTCTGCTGCCGGTGCTCTGGTGATTGCTCTCGCTCTTGCTTTCACTTTCTAAGCATGTCAATTTTTCTGGGTTCGGAGTGATTGGTTGGATGATACTCACTCACCTTGGTCATTAGATGGTCGGTGATCGGCTGATTTTATGTAATATTTTCTTACTTTTGTTTATGTGTTTTCCATGTACTCTTTAAAACTCACTATGTATAGACTTATTGGTTTATCATATGGTTTCCTCATACGTTATATCAAAACTAAAATTTTGAAAACTAAAACTTCCAAGTCCATCTCGCAACATCATTAGGTCCAAGTAGTCTTGTTTAATTCGCTTAGTGATGCGATATGCGAGCTCTTGAAGATACACTGCAGCCATATTCTATATTTCAACCAGCCTCTAGGTCCCCATACCAATATAGCTCATACCGCTGACGACCCTATTCTCAAATACAACAATCTATTCACCAACTCAATGCCCTTTCGACGAGAATGTACGCCATGGCTATAAGTTCGTGAAGCGTTGGATTTTTCCGTTTCGAAGTTTCTTGGTTCAACAACTCTCAATCTACCTCATATTACAACCGTACACTTCGACGTGGTCATCTCTGTAGGCCTCACTCAAAAACACCATTGGACATGACGAGAAAACGCCTGAACCGCTATCTGGAACATTCTTCCCACTCGGGGCAACTCTGCCGACTGTTTGGCCTAACACTGTCATTTGGTGTCAGACTCCACATCATCAGTCTGCAACATCTAGTATACAACCTCGCCAAGGGCCATTCTGGCTTTCGCAGCTCAAGTAGCAGGGCCAAGTGATATACCCTGGGATTCCGTTAAATGTTTTTGTCGAGATCAGTGAACCAATATTTGACCGTAGATTGTCGATTTAGGATGCAATGCGAAGTGCTGCGGCTACTATAGAATCAGCAGCTTGGTCACCGAGTGCTCTGCTATATACTACAAGTGAGCACTCACAGCTTAGTTCATGGCAACTTCCAGATTGCTCATCGGTTTTATGGTCGGGATATATAAATAGGGAGAATAAACCAACGGCTCTGGATATTCAGGGCTCAAATAGAGTTAATTTCCCGAGACATGGAGCAATAGTGTCATAGGGACAGGATTCCCTAGCAGAAACACATAGGAAGTCTGGAAGAATTGAAGGTTGGTATGACTGGTACTAGGAAGTAAAGGGACCTGCCAAGTTGATTGAGAAGGACAGGCTTATATAAATAGGGGTTAAGTCCCGGGGAGAAAAGAAGTTAGTGAAATGGGAAGCTTTTATACCCAAGGAAGAAGCGTTCTCTTTGAGTCAAAGTACAGTACTAACCTTATTCTCAAATAAGTTTGGCAAACTTCACATCTACAGTGAGTTATTATCTTTCTATTCTTACTTTTAATTTAAGATAGGGGAAAGAAAAAGAAAATCGAAAAAAATAGGTGAGCAGCGACCGCGGATCGAACGCGGGACAACAAGATTTGCAATCTTGCATTCTACCACTGAATTACCGCTGCGGGTTATGGTATAATGCACCGAAAATAGACTATATCAAGCAAGCCAAGTGTTTCCTAAATGAGTTTTTTAACTATTTTGTTATCAAAACTTAGGATTCCATATAAAATACCATCCATTTTGAGCTTTTCTTGATCACTTTCCCTTTCCAGTCCTTGGAATTGGATAGACTGGGCTAATTTCACCATCGGCTTTGCAATTGAACCAATTCCGAGAGCTGAGATTTCATGGCATGGCCACTTGGCACAGTTATTCAGTCAATGATTCCTTTTGCACTTCCTCTTTATAACTGTAAACTACCCATATTTACCATTGCTTCGCAGGACACAAGCACCGACAGATAATTTCGTAATCTAAGTCACTAATCCACTGCAACTCAGTTAGTGCCTCGCACGGCAGTCCGAAACCACTTCAGATTTTCCCATAGTAAATATTGACACTTTCTAATAGTCTTTTTAGTCTTTTTTCGGGTATTTCTTGGCCTGAGGCATTAGGCTATTTAAAAGCCACCAAAGCCACCAAAGCCACCGAATGCGGAAGTTGAGAAATCCGTCGATCTGATAGGACGAGAGGAAGTAGTCAAGCACTCACTAAACCCTACACGATATAGTCCCAGTACCAAATCCAGTTTATCGCGATCGACACTTTTTATTGCACTGCGACTGGCTCTTTTCAAGGTTTAATACGGGCTTATCGTTTAACTCCCATCCCGTCGTTTTTTTTTTCTTTTTTGTCATTCTCATCTATTCTCTTCAGTCATGGATCGAGATCAGCAGAAAGACGTCCTCTCCACTGTGGAGGTGGATGGTCCCCAAGACAAGATCGACCAGCCGATTGCACCAGATCAATTCGACGAGAGATACCGCACTACCCAGATGGAAATTTGGGCCTATTATGCGTGCGTGGATCGTTGAATCGTCCCTGTGCGGAAACTAAACACCACTGCAGCTATTACATTGGGAATAATGGCTTGTCACTGTTCAGTGGGTCCGCATTTTAATCTTAGTTCACAGAAGCTGACCCGTTCTAGACTTCGCGCCAACTGCCTTTCAAAACTTGCTCTACCAAGCAGCCCCTGACGATGGACTACTCGACTTTATAGGCAGACCCCGCACGGTCAACAGCATCGTGCTTCTGTCGAATGGAATCTCCTTCGCGATCCAAGTCGTGGTATTCCTGATAATCGGCAGTTTCGCCGATTTCGGTTATTGGCGACCCAACATCTTGATAGCGCTATCGATTATTGCCTACGCCGTCGGCTTTGGCTGGTTAGGTGTTCATACTTCGGAAAAATGGCATGTCGCAGTCGGTCTGTATATGGTCGGTTTGATCGCCTATCAAACTACACTCACGTTCTGGACCGCTGCGTTCCCGGGCCTGGCGCGCAATTCCATCGAAATGAAGGAAAAGGCGGACGCTTATGTGGCGGGGACGATTACTCGGGATGAATATGACTATGCGGACACCATGATGCGCAGCAAACTAGCCAATGTCGCTTTCTATGTTCAGTCCGTCGCGGAAATCTTTATTCTGGCGATTATTGTCGGAATCATGTTCGGGTTGAAGGTTAATGATAGCGAGAGCAATAACAACTGGGGACTGAGTGTGCTGATTGCTTTCGTCTCTGGTGTGTGGTTGCTTGTCTCGATTCCGTGGTTTGTGCTTGAGAAACGTCGTCCGGGTCAAGATCCTGGGAAACGATCCATTCTTATTGCAGGCATGTGGCAGTTGTGGCATGCTATGAAACAGATTTGGCATTTGAAGCAGAGTCTGCTCTATCTTATTGGTAAGATTTTGTGTTCTACTGTGTCTGTTGTTTGGTTATTGGGTGCTAACAGTGTTGGCAATAGGTTATTTCTTACTTGGAGACTCTCTCAACACTACTGTGACTGTTATTGGAACTTTGCAGAATAGTATCGTTGCTTATAATACCCTGGAACTGACATACCTGCTTATTGTTGGTATTGCTGCGCAGGTGAGCTTTAATTTCCTGAGCGATTTTGTTACAAACTGACAATTCTCTCTCAGGCGGTTGGCATATACGCATTTTGGACAATCCAGCAACGCTTCAGGCTGGGAACCAAAACCATGTTCAACACCATTGCCATTGGAATCATCCTACTTGATGGCTGGGGCATGATCGGTATCTGGACCGACAAGTTCGGCTTCCACAATTCATGGGAAGTCTGGGTATGTGAATCATGTCCTACCATATGAGCAGTTATGTCTAATCGATCCTATAGGTCTACCAAGCGTTCTACGGCCTTTTCATCTGCCCATGGTACAGTTACTCACAAATCATGATCTCGGAAGTCACACCACGCGGCCACGAGTTCCTGTTCTTCAGTCTCTTCAGCATCATCGGCAAGACCTCGTCTTTTATTGGTCCCCTCGTCTCAAGCGCAATTATCGATGCGAGTCCGTCGGGCAACGTCTCGACGCCATTCTACTTCTTGTTTGCATTGAGTGTTGTCAGCTTTGGGATTCTTTTCTGGGGTGTTGATTTAAAGAAGAGCCAGGAAGAGCAGGAGAGGTTCTTGTTGGATAAGTTGCGGCACTTGAATTCTAGTACATCTTCGTCTTCTGATGAGGGGACTTCTGCAGCGGTCTGAACTACTGTCTTCAGATATGTCGTGGGAGGTGGACTTGTCTTTGGTGTTTGACTACATAGGAACCGCGGTTTGGAGGATACTCTCATACCCATTCTAATATACATGCCGCGACTGCGATTGGAAATAATGATGTAGAGCGCATACCTACCGAACACAAATATTGGTAGAAAAACCGAGGTGACGAGCCATAGGTTTGAGAGAAAGATATATATAGGATGGAGTCGTCTCAATGGTCTATAGATCGCAAAGCATCTCAACATAGAGCTCAGGCCGGCTTTTTACAAAAGTTACTTCACTCAGACTGGCGAGGTTTGAAGGAAGATCATTGGTATTGAACAATATTTTTTGTAAATGTACACACCAGCTTGGGGCGTACACGGGTTGCAACGTTGCAACGAAGAACCAGGAGACAAGACATTTAAACGCCAGACCTATGCACTGCCATAAGCGCCAATTCCGATACAAGAGACCGATACCACAATCAAAGAGCAGATCATTCCGCATCGGAAGAAGCTTCCTTGGACTTGCTCTTCTTCTTCTTCTTCTTCTCTTTGCGCTCGGCAGCCTCGTCGGCGTCGACATCCTCCTCGGCCTCGCGTTTCCGCTTGCTCTTTTCCTTCTTTTCCTTCTTTTCTTTCTTCTCCTTCTTCTCCTTCTTCTTCAACTTTTCTTCGAGATCGGCCGGCATCGCCTCCTCGGGCGCAATGAAATCCTTCTCGCGCTCGCGCATCTTCTCGTCCCGCTTGATGCGCTGTCGCTCGACAACCTCCTCCTTGTGAACGCGGTCCTTGGCCTCCTTTGACAAGAAGTACTCTCCAGACTCGATCTGTAAATCGACCTTGCTCTTCTCGGGCGCAGGAGGGAAAGGCGTGTACGTCTTCTTCTCCTTGTCGGTGACCTTGAACGGCACGTGGCGCTTGGACAGCGTGCGCT